CGGGGTCACAAGTCCTGCCAACAAACCTGCTCCAGCGCGGGCTTCCCACAGGGTCACAGCCTCCTTCAGGCATCCACCTGCTCCAGCGTGGGGTCCTCCCCGGACTGCAGGTGGAGATCTGCTCCAGCCTGGACCTCCACGGGCTGCAAGGGGCAGCCTGCCGCACCGTGGTCTTCTCCATTGGACTGCAGGGGAATCTCCTCCGGCACCTGGAGCACCTCCTCCTCTTCCTTCTGCACTGACCTTGGTGTCTGCAGAGTTGTTTTTCTCACATGGTCTCACTCCTCTCTCCAGCTGCAATTGCTGTTGTGCAGGTTTTTTTCCCCTTTTAACTACGTTGTCCCAGAGGTGCTACTACTGTCGTTGGTGGGCTCGGCCTTGGCCAGTGGCAGGTCTGTGTTGGAGCCGGCTGGTGTTGGCTCTTTTGGACACAGGGGAAGCTTCTGGCAGCTTCTAACAGAAGCCACTGCTGCAGCCCCCCGCTACCAAAAGCAAACCCACAGCGTGAATTTTGAGTAGATCTAAGTGTTCTTTTCTTTATTGTTTATGCCAGTTTTTAGTAGCTTGTGCTTTCGTAGGTTTGCAGTAGAGAAGCTTTTAGTATGAAAGACAGAGAAAACACTTCTGAAAACTTAGATTTTCCACTGCAACTTTTCTTTTTGAGGTTATCTTTAAGACCATAATTTTCTTATTAGCACATTAATGAGGTGTTCTTTTCTTTTTTGAGAAATAAGATAATACTCTGCTCAAGTAAAACTCCTTTATTTCTAGGCTTGCATTTTTGCTTTCTTTAACTCAACGCCCATCAGGGACACTGAAGAGATACAAACTTTCCCAGATGGTACTTAAGATTGTCTGGTTTTCAGCTTTCTCAATTCTGTAATGATTTCCTGTTCATGTTTAGCTCTGAAGAACAGCATTGATATTAAACTTGTCTGTTTTAGTTAATTAAATCACACAATATAAAAATGGTCAAAGACTGTTCCTCCTTAACTTCAAGTACATTTAAAATATTGGCATCTAAAAGAGTGAATGTTTCCAAAATAGGTAAGGAGAAATGTCACACTGCATCAATAGTTACCAGGTGTCTTTCAGTCCCTTTGAATTTTTGAAGGCATCAGTGCTCAGAAATATTTTTAATGTTGCTTTTTTTTTTTCCTTGATAGTTGCCAAAAGATGAGATAGTGTAAGTGTTTGGAACCCTCTATCTCTTTGTCTGTTTTTATGTGATTGTTTCTTTACTTAGTTACAGTACTGTTTTCTCTGTATAAAGGCTTTGGAAGGCTTAATGTAAACATTGAATTAGTTGTTGTCCATAGACAACCAGATTTAATGCTTGTTTTCTTTTTGTGAATTATCTATGGAATCTGCTTTTAGAGTTACATCTCCTGAATTTATACTTTCTGAAATGATGACTGACTCGGCATATAATGTGTTTAGCACTAATAACACAAGAAAACCTTTCAAGGGTCCTGTTGAAGATTCATCTGATCCTGCGTCCTGCTTGGAGAGTGGCCTTGTGGGTACTGAGGAAAAGCTACAAAAGCAAAACTAATGTAGAACGACATTCCTGTACTGTATCGTTCCAGAATTTGGGTTTGTGGCTTGCAAAGAGGTTATCTGCACTCTCTAGACCTTGGTGGGGATTTCTTCCATGATTTGTATGGCACTGGTCTTTCATAGTGTGTTGCACACTGAATAAAATAAATGTGATAAAACAACAATTTAAGAACGCCACATCAGGCACTCCAGGATAAGAAATGCCGGAAGCAACAGAACTGTACAAGTCACTTCACGCCTTTGACTAAATTTAAGGAATCTGCAAAAATCATCCTTCGCAGGTGTTTAGATAGTGCGATCAAGACTTTTTCTGTCTTCTTGGCAAATGCAGAAGATTCTTGTTCAGAAACTTAACAGACATTCTTTCCAGGTATTGGATCACTCTCATAACTCTCTTCAGAATCCTTTCCTTTCGTAGCATCTGTTTTGAAGAGCAGAGCCGTATGTTATTTTATAATCTAAATTTGTAAGACAGGTATTGGCAGCAGTATTATCTCTATCTTCTTCTCTGGTACAAGCCTTGGGTAGATAAAAAAGAATATTTTTATCCTTCTTTCCAACAGTGCTCTGAGAGCTCAGGTTCTTTTGATGAATAATTAGCTACCTTGGAACTGTGATCGTCAATTTTTGCCATAAAATGTGAAGTCCTCTAAGTTTCAGTGTCTTTCCAGGATTTCATTGCTTGTTCAGGCAGTGTCTGACAGGCACCCCCTTTGTGAAGATACCATCTGGAATTTGGCTGGGTTAAAATATATAGAGCTTTCTTACAAATTACACTTGGTCTGTGTAAGCAAGTCATTCCCAAAGTTAATTATTATATAAAGGGCCCAGACGTTCATGGGATGTTTTGGTTAGCAGTGACTTACGTTCTCCTATGCTGCTGGTAAAGATAATAAATTGCCTTAAACCAAGCATATGGGTTGCTTGAGAAGTCTTTTATAGAAAGATTCTGTAAGCTAGTATTTCTGCATTAAGAACATTTTAGGTCTACTAATTAAGTGGATTAAAATCAAATTAGTAGTATTTTTTGTACAGTATCTCTTCCTCACCCACAACCCTAAAGCAGTGTTTTTTGGGACAAAGTCCGAATGTCTTACCGTTTCTTTTGGTACTCTTACCAAACTATAGAACCCCAGTAAATTTACATAGTGTTGGTATATGGCAGAGACTCTGCTCTTGTATCAATTTGATTTCCATGTAAAATTTCAAAATCTAGAATGTAACGGTTAAAATCTCATGATGAAATAATCTATTAAACATTTTTAAATTATCTTTAAAAGTCAGTCCCCAAACCCATCACGTATAGCATTGGGCAAAAAAAAAAAAAAAAGGCATCCAAGAGCATTGTGTTGTGATTTTTCAGTTTCATCAGATGAGAGCAGAGAGCTGTAATAAAAGCTGTCAGACTGTTTTAACTGCAGATTTTGTTGCTACTTGCATTGCTTGCTATGCTGTGACAGATAGTGTTTATAGTTTTCAAACAGTTCTGCAGTACTGTTTTTGCCAAGTGATAACTGTTTATACTTGGAGAAATGTGGGCTCCCTGTATTCCATCTGAAATGATTTTTATCAGTTAATGGTATAATTCTTGTTTGGTGTGCCTGAGAACGTCCTTCTGCGCTCTCTGGCCTCCAGCTTAAAACCTGTCTTCAGCCAAAGAGTCTTGACTCTAATACTTGCTTAGATAGCGCTTACGTCCCCTTTTCTGTCCACAGAGACTGAACCGGTGCTTTTTTCTGTCACTGCTGAGCTTTTATTGGAAATATATGTGACCTACCCTGCTACAGTCTTGTTCTCTGTGATCTCTGACCCTAAGACAAACTAATAACATCTCCCACCCTTCTGCTGACAGTTTATACCTTTTGTATAATACCTTTTTCTTGATGGTTCTCTTGATGGAGAAGAGTGAATGCAATCGGAGTGAAGCCCCAGCAGGGGAATGTGTGATGGAGTAACAGAAGCTGAAAATTCATGAAATGGTAACAGATTGAGTGGAATAAAGATAGAGGAAACAATTAACTTTCCTTATGGAAAACAGACAGGACAAACCAGATATCCTTAAGATGGATGAAAGTTTTTATCAGCATAGGAAAAAAAAAAAACCAGATATGACTGGAGTAGGAACCAAACCAAAGGCCTGTTAAGGTAGTAAATAATTTCATATAAATTGACACTTGAAAAATAATATGATGAGAATTTTCTGTTTCAAATAAAGAGAATATTTGTAGTCATAGCAGTTTATGTATAGGCTTACAACCTATTGCTGCCTGGGAACTTCTGTGTGAGCAGCTCATGGCAGTTTAGAGCTGCTCTACAGAGTAACTTAGCGTTCTTTTATTTTGCTTTTCCCACATATTCCTCTCATCAGTTCATTGTGGGTTAGGTTTGTCCAATTTTGGCATATTTCTGAAATTTAGTTGGAATTTTTTTTTAATATAATGGAGGACTCTATGCAATATTTTCCTGTGAATCTGTACTGTAAATGTAAATGAAGAAATAATATATGTGTTGCAATATATATGGACTTAGGTAATGCAGATAAGCTAACTCAGCATTACTACTTTTTCAGTAGGACTTAAACCCAGTGTCTTGTTTGGTTACTAATGCTGTTGGGTACTTTTTTTTCCTCTATGAATGTCCTCAAGTCGCTAAATTTGCCAAAAGTAGGAGCTGACATTTTTTTCACAAAAAGAAAGTGAACAAGAAGATGCTTTAAGAATAAAATGGAAGAATTTTTATTTCTTTGCCAGCCATGTATCTTGAGTAATTACTAACTCAGCTACTGTTGATACATCCGTGAACAGCATTGTAGAGTGAGTACTAGATGTGATCTTACGGGATTAGTCTGATTGTATTTTGCATGTAAAAACTGCTTCTGTAAATGAAAGAACTCCTGTTTTGATGCTTTTCATTCAGTGATGCCTCTCTGACCTGTAACAAACGTAGCCTTTATTGAATGTGCAAGTAGGAATTGTTTGGGATCAAAGCACTTACCCATTCCTAGCTCTTACACTTGCAGGATGTGCAAAGGAGAATCAGTTGTTACCAGGTGCTAAGACTTGCCTGTTGGTAAAGGAGGATGCAAGTAGCTGATCTTCTAATATTGTAAGCTTTGATCAAGTGTCGTTGGATTACTACAGATACATTTTTAATCTAGGGAAGAAAAGATCCACTGATCTGAATCTATGTCTTGGTCCCAGACGTTTGGGGCTCTATGTGTAGTTTTGAAATCGGCTCAAGTGGAGATACTGGCAAGTCACTTAACTGGTTTTCCTTTTCGCTTTGTAAAGTGAGCATTTTTGTCTGCTCTTTGGGCTGCTTATAAGGAAGGAAATGTAAATTCTCAATGGTTACTGAAAATGTAAAAAAAAAAAAAAGAGTTGTGTTTTTGCTTGTTTCCTTGAGGTCTTTCTTTTGTGTTTTTTTTTTTCCCCAATCAGATACAAAGAAGGTGGTGAAGCTTTGTTAGTATTGCTTCCCTCAGAAGTAAAAGGGATGGTGGAACAGCTGGCACAAAGGAAAGTACCTGTCAGTGAAATCAAGTAAGTGACTAATGGTTTGTCTGTTATTCATCCTTTCTACAGGAATAATGTGTGGTGAGTCTATGACAATCCTGATGGAGTGCTTGAATTGCCTGGAACTGGGCAACCAGGGGAGATAATTTGATTTTCATAGTATTGTGGAAGGAAGAGACCTTGAGAGGTTACATATTCCCTCCGCTTTCCCAAAGGCAGGGTCAGCTGCACAGATCATTTTTATTGGATGCTTGTCTAACGTGCCAATGAGTATTTTCACAATTTCCCAACATGATCTCATCTATAGTCAATAGTTCCTGCCACTAAGGTTTTTGCTTCAAGTGTCTGATAAGCCTTATAAGTAATGAAGTGAAAGATTTCTTTTGTCTTGTGCCAAGAATATATGGAAAATGATATATTCTCTTACTCTTTACAACTACTTTTTATGTAATTGAACATTATTATGCTGTCTCTTTCTCTTCCTTTTCTTTTGCAGACTGAATGATTACAATTTCTTTAATCTGTCCTTGTATGTTTTTATACCTTTTATCATTTTTGGTTCTCTTATCTGTCTTTTCTTTAGTTCTAGACTGTTTCTCCAATTTGTCATGATCTTTCTGAATCAGTTAGTTGAAGAACAGGAAATAAAAAATGTGGCTAAATTGTCATTTTACGTACCAGAGAGAGTATTCCAGTGGAGATCTGTAGAGATCTATGGTATCTGTACAAAACAGAACTGACTTTGAAAGAGTTGCAGAAGCATATAATGGTACCATGTAAAAGTAAAAAAGCACTTTTATTTCCAATTTCTGTTAAATGCAGAGTAATGCACATGTAGGAAGGACAAAAACCCTCACTATAAAAATAGTAGAAAACCCCCACACGACTGATAAGTATTGGTGGTAATTTCTTAATTAGCAGCTATATGTAGGAAGCAGTTCATTGTTCTTTGAGCCTGTCGATCTAATGCTAAATCAAAAGAGGCAACAGAATGTGAAGGAAATATGGAAGATGAACTGAAAGCAAGCCAGAAAATGTGGCATGAGCCTGATTCAGTTTTGAATACTTACATAGTTCAAGTTAAACCATGCCCAAAATTTGTAGAATAGAGCTAGAAGAAATCCAGAGAAGGTTGACAAGGTAGAAAATGAAGTTTCTATACAAGTGGGTGTGAGCAAGGCTAGGACTCTTTTACTTTGTAAAGCTGTAGTTGGAATGTGAACATATGGATATCTAAGCAAAGAAGATAATCAACTGTATGCAGAAATTGTTGTGGAATATTTGTTTCTGAGGAGAAGTCAAAGTAGGGTGAAACTTTAAGTGGTCATTATTACCGCGTTGCTTAAACCTTCGGGTCTGCTCAAAATTAACTATACTGTATTCTTTGAATTCTGGTGTAATGAAGGATGGTAAGAAAAGAAGTTTTTTAGAAGTCCACGTCATACTAAACTGCAATTGTCCAGGCTATCCAGACTTACTTTAATACATCCTATTATTGAATTTACAATAGAAAGAGCTAATGAAGTATAAAATATTCTCATTTAGTACATTTTAATAATGACAAGTCCCAAAGTATGTGTTCACTTTATTCCTTAACTCAAGTTTTGACATAAACGTATATGGAAAGTATAACAAAAAACAGGTAACAATTAAGTAGTGGCAATTTCATTTTTACAAAGGAAAAGGAGGGCATGTGTGATCAGCTGTAGTGAAGGGAAAAGAAGCAAGAGCTTCAAATGATAACCACAAAATACTGTCAGTTCCTACTGAATCTTACTCTTTTATGAATGCCCCAGTGTTCAGCTTCACAAGGCTGATTCTTCTGTTTGGTTTCCATGAGGATTGCCATTTTTGATACCAGTTGGATGTCGTCACTCCAAAGATGCCACACTTGGACACAAATTGTCGTTTCTGCAGAGAATGGAAACGTTCACATTGCACTTTCCAGATTCAAGATTTAGTTTTATTTTTTTAAGGTATTTTTTGATGAGTGGGTATGCCACTTCCAAGGCACTTGTGAACTGCACTTACGAATGCTGGTTCTATGTAACAAGCCGAGTACACAGCAGCCGGTGAAGTAAATACATCTTTTCTGGTCAAACACTGGTATCAGTTCTGTGCAGAACGTGCCTGAACTTCAAAAGGAAGACAACTTCTGTTAAAACAGTGAAAATAAGGACTCAAATGGAGTCACGCAACTACCAAAAGTCCAATTGTGCGTAAAGCTTTCTTTTGACATTGCTGTTTAAGAAAAACCCCACAACAACAGAACAACAAAAACAAAAAAAACCCTGAAAAACAACCAAACAAAAAAAAACCCAACTGAATGTGGGCAATATCAGTAAGGATACTGAATTCAAGTCTGGTATTTTCTTTTCCTTTAAGCATCGTAGTGCTTTAAAAGGATCTTGTATAACCACCAGAGCCTAAGCAAATTGTCTTTTTCCAAACTTCATATTTTTCCATTTTAAAATGATAGTTATTCAAATCATTTATTTTGTTATTCACTAAATAAATGTCTGAACTCATGCGTATTATAAATATTTCACCTTTCTTTGAAAACTACACTTAACTTCCGGAGTAATGCAGTTAATTGTTTGAACAGACTATCATAGAACGTGGTAAAGAAACCTCTTTAGCCTGCATTTGTTCCTGCGAACCCAAATCAGTATATTTGTACCAGAACAACAATTCAGTTTTAATAAGGCAAATATTTCATTTCCCCCCCAATAAATGAATCTTCTATTTATAATCCAATTTAGGTGTGTCTCTGGAGAGACATCTGTGGCTGCATCTCTTGACAGATTCTTGCTAATCTGATGTTATATCAATGGAAAGCGCTGCTATTTTTTTTTAAACACCACCCCAAAAATGCACTTTTTTGCCAAGCCACTAGGGCATATGTATAATAAATACATTTAAGTAACATTATTAACTGGACTCATTATAAACAAATTCAGGGCTTTTAATTGATAATAAATTTTAACAGCCTGCCCTGAGATGCAGGTTTTCAATCTGCAAAACATACCTTATTAGTATTTGTAACATTATAATGAAGGGGAATGCTTTTACTTAGAATTGTCTGCCTTGTGTGGTTAAGGCTTAACTGGTTTAGCATTGTACCTCTAAGGTGCTAACTAAAATCCTTAAAAAAAAATTCTTGTTATTACTAATGGATTGCAAACGGTTTTCATCCTGAAAGTTTTCAACTACAGATTTTGTTAGGTTGTTTACTTCTAGCTAGTTTCCCAGTTAACACAACCCTGGTGTGTTTTTTCAGTTGATAAATTGTTGAGGAAGGTCCATTAACCCATGGATCATGTTCCAGGTCTTCTGTTGAAGTCTTCTGGTGGTGTTTGTGCATGTTCACCAAAGTATAGATTCCCAGGAAGTGATTTAACTTGTGAGTGAGAAGGTAATGAGCATTGCTAGCTGCCAACAGAGTTTAACTCTTCAAACTTCTGAAATTTGTTCTGACAGCTTTTTGCTTCTGAAACATCACTGTCAATTAGAGTGTTTATTTTGCTGTTCTTTTTAACCTGTTCTCTTGCACAGGAGTTGCAAGAACCAGTTTTCTGTTACTTTCTTAGATTTGAATTTTCTGACGTATGAACTACTCTTAACATTTCTTTATCTCATTTAGACAGAGCTTTTAAAACGGTTTCATGATTTGAAAGGAGAGAGGGGAATAACTTTTTTCTTTTCCAGAATACCTAGTCAAAAGGCTAGGGTTTGGGCTGTTTTCTTAATTTTCAATTTTACATCTAAGCTCCCTGTAAAGCCTGTTAGTACACCTTTCTAATCAGCACAAGTTGCCAATTTACAGGTAGTGCTTTGAACAATTCATCTCTTTTTCATTGCTCAAACAGAGCAAGAGAAAATACAAAATAAGCAATAATAAATACTGTATTTTAAGCGTTCAAATATGGCAAAAAGCTACTCAAAGTTTTAAATATTATGTGGATATCTAGAAGGAGTCTATAATTTCAAAGTTTTAGATACAAGCTGTAAACTGAAACTATTTTCGGTGATACCTTGAGACTACTTCATTGCACCCAATCTTGTTCATTAGCAAGATAAGAGTGGCTTCTGAAGTGATTATTGTAATGAATTTTGTGTCTAGAAAAATTTACCAAAGGAACTGCAAGTGTGTAGATACCCACAATGTAATATTGCTTTCTTTAATATGATGACAAAAATGTGGTTCTTGAAGAAAACAATAATAACAAGAACAAAGCACTTTTTTTTTCAGACAGTGGAGAATACTTAGACATGTGTTCCGTGACAGTAATGTTAATACTAGGGAACCTACTAAAACTTGCTGCCTCCCAGTTACCATGATTACTGTAGGACAGTCCAGCCAGCACGGTTATGCACTTGTACGTGGTCTGCTGGGGTGAGGCTGGCAACTCTGAGCAGCCTTCCTTAGCTCCCAGCTCTTCCTCCTTACTCCAGCCTTCCAGGTTGGCCAGCGCAACCATAGGGAGCCACGTTGCGGGCTGAGAGCACAGAGCAAAACCCGTTGCTGCTTGGAACCTGGGTGGAATATGGAAACTGTTTTGCTACATCGTGGCAGCATGGTGGTTTTGGTGGTTGTTGAGCCTTTGGAGAAGAAAAGAATATCTAGTGAAAGCAGTGCTTGTATCCTGGAGTTAAAAATGGGAAATGAGAGGAAAGCAGAATGCGTATTTACCAGGAAATCTGGAGAAGGCTGTCTGGTCAGTTCATAAGACCAGGCAAGCTGAGTTCATATTTATACCATGGCACAGTCAAGTGTCGGCATTTATGCAATTGCTAGGCAAAACGATAGTTTCAAAAAGTTAGGCTGCTGCTTAAAAGCAAGATTTGTACTCACAGAGTGAGGAAAGAAACAGCCTAGTTAAAATGACGGACAATGTCATAAAATCCCCCTTTAGGGTTTGCATAGTTGGTTCTAGCTCACTGGTTCTTGCTGTTTAGGGAACCTTATAAATTACAATAATTCATTGATGTGTTTAGTTTTTATGTTTGTCTCTCCAAATAGTCACATGCATGTAATTATTGTAAGGAGCTTTATTTCTCCAGAAAGAAGAAACATGTAAACTTATTAAAACCAAAATCCAATTTAACAATGACTAGCTTTCTTATTTTTGGAATCCCGGCATAAGACGAAGACAACTGTGGGTGGTTGTCATGATACAGTGTTGGAGAGGAGACAATCCAGTATGAAAAGACTTTTTTTAACACTGTGTTGCAAATTTACTCATTCATTAACAAGCACATGAACTCAAAATGTGGTCGGGGGCACCATATTCTTGTTTGACGTTGCTTAGATTTACACCACATTATCTTGTCATGCTTTTAACTTTAAAGCATCTTGTGTTTTCTGTCTTTTTCAAACCCTTTTCTTGCAAATTTCAACCAAATTACTCAAAATTCCTGTGCAGTCCACAAAATGTTGTTACATCTTGTCTAAGATTATTGTCCGTTATGCTTGGAGCCCCAGTGGTGTATTGTCTCCTGGAAATAATGAAGCTTAGTTCTACAATAATCAAGTCACAGAGAATAATGAGTAATAGCGGGCCCAGAATAGCAGGTGAGAATTGGAACTTTGTATGCGTTTTGAGTTTATCAGTGACAACAGCGAGTAGTTGACAGTCCCAACTACTCTTTGAGTGTGGCTTGAAGGCCAGTTTTCCATTTACTTAAAGGTTTCTTGTAGGCCATGTTTTCCTAGCTTATGAGAGTGTTCAGCTGCTAGATGCTCTGCTGACATCAAATACGACATCTGCTGTTTCTTTCCAATTCTTAAGGCCTGCTAATGCTGCTGTGAAGGATAATCAAACTAATTAGTCATGTTTTGCTTCTAAGCTATGCTGGCCATTGTGTGTTTTGCTTATTTTCTTCAGGTGCTTACAAATTGTTTTTTTGGTATCAAGAAAAAAAATGAATTATTGAACTTCTTTTTTGCTCTGTCTGAAGATAAGCACTGCGTTTACCTGTCCTGTCCCATAGATTTTTATCTATCTCACAGGAGTTCTCAAGAACAGATAATACAACTATGACTCAAAGCAGTCTGACTTTCTCTCTAGTTGCTATGGAGCAAATTTCTTTTGACCCAGCTGATTTATCTAAGTACCTGTTATCCGGTGATTTTCAGTTCTGGTGTGAGCTTGGACTGTGCTGTAGCTGTTGTTAGCTGTCTGATTGCACCTGCCACTTTGTGTGAAGATAAGGGAAAAAAGACACTGGCTAATTTAAGTGCATAGAAGTCAGCTCTTAATAGCTTTCCCATAACTTAACAGCAGTCCAGGACTTCTCTGGGCTGTCTTCTTACTGGTGTTCATGTTAATTTTTTTTTTTTTTTGGTTATTCGTGCTACCCCTTCTTTAGTTTTTGAATCTCATTTTGTGCTTGTATTTCTTATTTTATGCCAGTGTATTTGTGCTGGTTTTATACTTGTCTTCAGTTCTACTTTAAGCTTTCTTCTCAGCTCAAGATTGATTGTAAACGTGTTGTTTTCATCTAGCCAGCCTTTTTACTCTTGTCTTTCCTTTGCAGTCAGGTAGTGTGCTTTTATGTTTGTACCTTCTAATACAATTCTGTGTTAAGCAAACCACTGCTTTTATTTTGCTGTTCTGCCATTTTTCCTTTCTTAGGATCATAAATATTTTCACTGTCACCTTCTCAATCTTGTTTTTTAGAATAAAATCTAGAAGAGCCTGTTTTCTATTTACTTTTTCTGTCTTTGGTATCTTGTGTGCGTTCTATCCTGCACTACATTTCAAAGACTTGTTGGTCAGTTTGTGTCCCACTGAATTTTGCATGCCTTTTCATTTCTCTCTTATGTCTTTACACCTTCAGAATGTATTATTTGCTGTCTTGAAACTAGAACTCAGCTTTCTGAATTTTCACTACAACTGTAGCCAAATAGCTTTTGTGTGCACTACTGCCTTCCACTGGCTGCATCTGGCAGAGATAAGAAATTGAAATGGTGAGGGAATAAAGCTTGATGTCTTTATAAATTAAAGTATTATTTGGTAATACCCTCCAAACCCTTGCTTAATTGCTGATTTCGTGTTTAGTAAGAATAATTGATGATCATAAGGGCTTCTGTTAAAAAAATGACTATAAAATATAAAATGTTTTTTCATCGGAGTCGTATTTTCTAGACTGGTTTAGTGTTATGTGAAGAAGCATGATTTTGATTCTGTTTTTTTTTCTGGACTGCCTTCAGCAAAGGCTATGTTTTGTTGTATAGTATGGGATGACATGGCACGCAGCAGCAAGAACCAGAATAAGAAATCTGGTAGTTGTACATTCCTTTGACCTCTCCTTGGGAGTTACCCTCCTACCATGTTTGGTAGGTTGTAGCATACACTTGGGTGGCACTAGAAGATCAAAACCAGAAGTAGGTAAGAAAAGATCTGGGCAAATAAGCCTGGAATAGCATAGTTATTACTGGAATAACTAAAAATCCAGAGTCTAGGAGAGGACATGCATTAATGGCATTTTCTGTAACACAGTCACTGTTGTTTATTTGCCTGATCAATATTTTGAGGAGCTCTTAAATCTATTTAATCTCAGTGTCCTTTATTTTTGCTCATCTGGCTGTAAGAAAGAAGTATTTAAACTTCAGTATTCACAGGGCAATGGATCTTGCTTAAGCTTTCGAAAATGCTGAGAATTTCCTTATGAAGACTGCTGTCTCAGTGTAAAGTACTACTATAATTCATTACTCTTCTTCTATATTTTTTCTCATAATTTTTATAAATTCAAGAAGTCTTTACTGCTGAGTTTGGCTTTGCTTTGGAAGAAGTTTCACCACCTTCACTGAAAATTGTCTCTGGATAAAAGGTCTGAGCTCCCATTTGTCTTTTCTGTATTATTCATTTGAGGAGTGTATGCTTCATCCTTAATAAGCTTGTTCCGAGTGGTAATAGCTTTATGCATGTGCAAGCAATGCATAAGATGTGAATATACTCCTGAGAACTTAATAGGTGCTTATTTTTGCATGTTCTAATAATTAAAGCTAACATTATTGTTATTTTTTTTTAATTAGAATTAATCCTGAAAAACTTACAGATATCCAAAAGAGGATGCAGGCTTTCTTAGCTCAAGATCAGGAGTTAAAAGACAAAGCTCAAAGGGTAAGTCATCTGCTGCACTATAGTTCTTGAGGCAAACTAGTCAAATAGAACTCTTGGAATAATTGACCTGCTTGTATGTGCCCTAGCAGCGCTGTTTGGAACTGCTGAATTGTTCTGATTTTTAAGCTTTAAAACATGGCATCAGTAGAAACAATAATCATGTATTAGCAGTTGGTGGTAAGTATGCCCGTTATAGCCTGTGTGAATTGACATGGGCTCAGCATGGGCTCGTGACCCCAGTGCCTGAGGAGCCACCTGACCTACTGCTGTTGTGCCAAAGTTAAGGCATAGGTGGGGACATATTTATTTTAGAATCTTTGGTATGCAAGTAATTTTTGATTTAATAGTCACTGCTTCGCAACTGTTCAAAGATTTTTACTGTTTTGTTTGAGTCTTTCCCACCTGTTTGAATCCTGAACCTGGGGAGGAGTAACCTCATACACCAGTACACACTGGGACCAAATGGCTGGAAAGCAACTTTGCTGAAAAAGACCTGGGGCAACAGGTTGTCCTAGTGGACAACAGGCTGACCATGAGCCAACAATGTGCCTTTGCAGCAAGGAAGGCCAGCCATGTTGTGGGCGGGATTAGGCAGAGCTTTGCTGGCAGATCAAGGGAGGTGATCCTTCCCTTCCCCTCTACTCAGCCCTGGTGAGACACATCTGGAGCTCAAAGCTTGATTCTGGGCTTCCAGTACAAGGAAGACATGGACTTACTGGAGACAAGACAAATGAAGAACCACAAAGATGACTGAGCAGTTGGAGTATCTCCTGTGTTAGGATGGAAGTATAAATTAGATGGAGCCAAAATCTTTTGAGTAGTGCCCAGTGGCAGAAGAGGAAGCAATTAGGACAAATTTATATACGAAAAACCTCCATTTAAACCCAAGAAAAAAACTTCTATTGTGAGAGTGGTTGAAAACTAAAACAGTTTGCACAGAGAGGCTGTGCAGTCTCCGTTGTTGGTTATTAAAAACTGGGTGCATTCCTGAGCAGCCTGCTCCACCTGACCTTGCTTTGAGCAGAGGCTTGGACTAGATGGAATGTGGAGGTTCCTTTCGACTTCAGCTATTCTGTGATTCTGTAAAGCATAAAGACGTTGAATCAGTACAAATAGATCTTTTTTCATCATGTATCCTTGGTAGCATGATGGAGCATAGGACAGTGTACCCTTTTCAGCCCAGTAACCCTTTTGATTGAAGGGGATGGGTAAATTGGTAGAGAGGACTTTTCTTGGGGAATTGATCTAGAACATTTTGAAATAATAATAATAATAATAACAACAATAAAAGGTTACTGAAAAGTTGCACATCTCGTTCCTTGGCTTAAAACGTTAGAAATATGAAACCATGTAGGCCTCACATACCTACTTCCTTAACCAATTTTTATTGTTGTGTCTCCTGAATATAAAGTTTGTCTTTTCTCAGTGGTAAAATGCAGTGCATTGAATAAAGCATTTTAACTTTTCTTTGGGGTTAGATGAGAAACCAAATAGCTTACAGTAGCTTTTCCAGGTAAGATGGAGAGGTGTGTGAATGACTATGAATGGGATTTCTTTGCTGTGCTGATTAATGTTGGGAGACTCCATGAACCATACGTGAATTTCACCAAGATTTCAGCAGGTCTGGGGAAGGTAGGAAAACTTAAAATAACTAAGTAGGTTCCTGGACTAGAATTAGCTAGTTGTAAAAGACACTTTCAATGGAAGATGGCCTGTGAAACATTTCTGGGCATCATTCTGCCTCTTCTTGCCATCGCTAGACATTTTTACTGACCTTTCCCTGATTTTATAGTATCTTTAAGGTGTGAACTCTTTCGGATAGATCTTACTACTTGTGTTATTGAAGGGCTGCAACGTGTTGGTTTTCTGAGGCTGGTTTGCTTGCTTGTTTGTTTTTAAACAGTGTGGATATCATGAGCCTATGAATTCTATGGTTGTACCAAGTGCCTTCCAAACTGTGAAAAAATTAGGAGTTCAAACTGAGATGCAGGGAAATGAGATGATTAGAAGAAAAATAAGAAAATCTTTTAGGTCACTTTTTTTTTAATACATATAGGTCAAAGCACTACCAATGGCCAAATGATCAGAAATCCATAAATGCCAAAGTCTGAGAAGTACAATGTCTGCCCATGAAAGAGACTGCAGAAATTCTGGATTAGTGTAAACAACTTTGTCTGAGCTAGCATGGGGTTTGATGACACCTGGAGATATTCTGGTAAACTTGAGTGATAGGGTAAAATGAAAAGGGGATCAGGAATGCTTCAAGATGAACTATGAGTTGTAGCCTTTCTGCTGAACTTGGATGTGAAAGGAGACAAGTTGCTGTATTTAAAACTCTTAAGGTGAGGTTTAGGACTTTAGATGTCCTACGTGAGCTAGTCTGCCTGAGCTTTCAGTTGTAGCTGATAGAGAGGAATAGGCACTTCTAGGATGCATCCTGACACAGGTACCTTAAAAACTCTTTGAGGTGGATGAATGATGGTTTCTTTGTGCTGCGGAGGGAGCCTCTGTGATGTGACCTAGCTTGGGTGCTTGTAGTAGAGACACACACTGCGTCAGAGGAATGCCACTCTTACTGTCCTAAACAAGGAGTCTTCAATCAAAGTGCCTAAAGTGTGTGAGGAAGTCAGTGGGAGCTTTGTGAATAAAAAGTCTAAGGCAGTGTTCAAGGGACGACTTTTAAAACTGTTTTTTGGCGTTCAGGTATCACAGGTTTTTGTAGTGCACGGAATATTACTTGTAGCATGTGGAATGTCAGCGTAAGCTTCTTGCGAGCGTTGCACAGGCCAGATGTACTGGTGACATATTGCGATCATCTGCAGCTGCCACGGGAAGTTGCAGTTACACCAGTTTGTATCAGAAGTGATAGAGCAGCTGCTGGGGGAGGACGAGAGTAGGAGGAAGCCAGCATCATCTTACTTGGAATGACAATACTAACAAACCTCTTTCTCTGGCTTTGGCTTTTTAAGATGTCTTAAAAGGCAGAGAAAGATCATTCTGAATTGGACAAAAGAAAGTAATAATGAAGTTTGAAAATAGCACAAGAATAAAATCAAACATGGGCTGCCTGTTAGTGTTACAGATAAAACCTGAAATTAATGCTGAAAAATTTTTAATTGCCATTTAATTAGCCTTTCAAGTTTATTTTTGTTGCAATTTTTCATTTATGGATAGCAGTGCAGTGTCATCTTGCCGGCAAACTGTGTATACATTCAGTTTTTGAAAATCTTGAGGTATGGACAAGTGGTTTATCATAGAAGTGTCCCTCCTTAAGATTTAAGTGTGAATGTTCAGACATACTATGCAAATATGCCCCAGTAGTGTCACATATCAATGTGAATAAAACAATAAATATAATGCAAATGAAATCCTGACCTTGGATCCTTATCTGGAATGCTGGATTTCTCAAAGGCACAGCTGTTGTGCTGTCTAGCCTGCCTGTTGCAAGCTGCCAAATTCATGACATTTGTAATAAATAAATTCCGTACCTGAATGGATCAGATAGCAGTGGAACAGCACAGCTATGCAGAGAAGGTCAGGTAGGATGTAGTTTACTGTGTTGAGGGCATGAGGTCTAAGTCATTGTGTCCTCTAAGCGTGTTGATTTACTTCAAGATGCTTTTACTTTGTTTAAAACACAAAAAAAAAGAGAAAAAAGGGAAAAAAATCCTTGATTACTAATTGCTTCAGCAAACTTCATGGTTTGTTTGACAGGACGTGGTTCCTCTGCTGTTGCTTGGAAAGAGAGAGGGTGAATCAGATTGGGCCTCCCTTGAAACCTTTGCAGTTCCTCTTATGGACTGATGCTGCCTTTTGGCATTTCTTGTAATTTTAATATTTAATATGTCAATTCATCCAGTTGTGAAAAACAGTTTAAAAAAAGAATGTGTTTGTCTTACTAGTTTGAATGTTACTGTGTAGGAGGTACTGGGACACTGGAGTCATGTCTGTCTGTTCAATTCTTCGTTGCAGCTAGAGGGACGTGCGGGGTGTTACAGCCTGGGATTCCAGTCAGACCCTGCTACTTTGAATTCCGTTAAAACAGCGCATAAATTGAATTGTGTGTGTGTTCTATTATTTAAAATAATAATTCAAGAAATATATCAATAAATCAGAACTGAAATGTAACAAATTAGTGAAGTGTAGTACTTATTGCCTTGTGTACTTTTAGTACTTGTACAACAATCTCAGGTGGTTTTGGGGGCCTTCAGCTACTATTGTAGTAGAGCTGTAATATGTTTCTGATGGCCAACTGTAACATTTTCCATAGTGATATAAGTTAATTCGTACAATATTTTGGAAATGTTTGGTAAAAAAACCCTTGAAAGTTATATCAAAACAGCAAAAATAACAGTGGACAATAGCAATTAATAAAACAGGAGGAAAAACGTTCAGACTGACTAAACTTGTTCTCCCTCAGCTGTTCAGTGTGTGTGTGCAGAGTGAGCAAGCCTTAGGGGAATTGAATAAAATCCAAGAAAGATGACAAGTATTTTAGAAGGATGGTGAAGTGAAGGTAGTGAAGTCAAACAAAAATTGAAGAAGTCTTTTACTCTTTCTGTACTTCCTTTCTCTTCCTGTAAAGTAGAACAACTCTTCTGTGCTGTATCTAACTTTTCTAGTTTGGTTGTAAACTCTTGGAGTAGGGAATATCTTTTGCTGGAAATGTTCACCATGCCGAAATTAATAGAGAATGAGGTCAGCTGAAGACTTTAATCATCATTATACTATTGTTGAATGTTCTTTGAAGCATCTTACCTTAATTAGATGCCCTTTACTTTGAACACAGAGCAATACCATCCTGCATCCAGTCCATGACAAACTTGAAAAATTGTTTGGAGTCTTAATGGGCTGAGCCCTGTTGACAGCTGATAGCTGTGAGTTAGAACATCTGGCATTGGTTTGGTGGTCCATTCTTAGTTACTGTAGGGCTTTGATACATGTGCAAAAGGTGTGTTCTTTCTGCCCTTTATCTGTCATTTATTAATTTCTAGACTACATGTACCACAGAAATACTAGTGAAGTAAGTGGATACCTTTATATGTTATCCAAAAGGCAGAATGAGATTTCTACCCTGTGTCATGTAGTGATGCATGTAGATCTTCAGATTTTGGTTAAAACTGAACAAATTCTCTTTTAGTGATATTTCCTTTCAGTGAAGTTCTTCAAAGTAATGCATTTTTCTGAAGTTGACTGCGTATTTTTCAGACAGTATCTGCTCCACAGCTAGTAACACCTGATGTTTATAGTCCTACTGAGCTAATGGTAGGAATGGAAGGCAGAAAAGACCCCTGTTTATAATTATTTCTTTTAGCAGCCAAGGTCGTTGGCACCAAGGTCAGTGACAAATGTTGCAACTCTGATTCACAGGAAAGATACTTCTTGTTTAACCTGCTTTTTCCATCACCCACTACAGAGAAAGAAGAGGCTCTGTCATTTATTTTTGTTACTGCTCACTAGACAAAAATTTATTCATGAGATCTATCAAGTTTGAAGCCTTTTCCTAAAGGTTCTATATATCTTTGTAAAATTATTAATAATTTAATGTGAGCAAACAAGTGTTTTATTCCACACTTCATTCTTGGTAGCAAGTCAATGGATTTTGCTAGTACCTTCCAATGCTAAAATTAATTGAAAGATATAATCTGGACAGGAAACTTAACCCAAAACCTTAGCATCTGGAAAAATAAGCACATGTAAAATAAGCAAATGTAAATTTACTTTTGTAACGAGGTGTTGGGCAACTTGAAAAGCATCTCTCTTAGCTTTATGTGTCTCACGATTAGTAGTTGTTATTTCAGTTTGCCAAGGAGAGAAGTATGCCTTTATGACATTGCCTAATTTACTGTCTCATCCTTATTTTCACTTCTGGAAATATTTTTTCTCTTATAGGCATTTAAAGGATCCCCATAAGAGATTGATGCACTTAACTGTTGGGTCTTTTCCTCCTCTATCTCAGGTTAACAAGAAATAGATTTTTTTTAAATTCCACATGAATTATTAATACAATAATATTCTGACAGGTGCTTGTACATAGCAGAACAAGGTTGTGATTATAGTATGCTTGAATATAACCCTATGGGCTTAATTTGCTATTTTCACTAGTGTTTGCTGATTTAAGCCTCGTGATAGGAGTTTTGGCATGTGTTAGAAATTAGGTTATGAACAACAGAAATCCAAGCATCTTTTCTGATACTTAAAATATTCCAGTATTTCTGATGATGATGAGAAGCAGAAATAGACTATGTAAAAGAAACATTAAGAGAATAAGAATCTTTCCTTTTGGGAAGGATAGCAGGAAAATACAACACAAGATGAAGTTATTCTGTTAGGCAGTGCTTTTAGTTTTCTTGGTGAAAGTCTGGGAGTAGATGAAACGTCAGCCTTGGACCGATCTTAGTAAATATACAGTGAATTTGTGATGGTCGTCTGAGTTGCATTCATTGACTGTGTGTATGTGATAAGCTGGTGACAAATGCAAGGTAGTATGAATTATCCTAGGCCACAGTGAAAGGCAGCTACATTGAGTTGAATCACTCTCTGTTAGTGGCTAAGATTCTCAGGCCACCTCAGATTGATAGCAGCACAGTCTGTTCTTGCTTCCACGTAATTCAGATGTCAGGATAGCACAGCAACATTTGGAAAAGCTGTAAGAAAAAAACCCAATTGAATGTTAACTCCTAATGGATTTGCTGTATTTTCTTTCTGGTGGAAATACCATGACATACAGTTGGGAAATTCAGCCAGTTAACGTGCATTTAATGAAATATTTGAATACTTGAAGTCACATCACTTGCGTAGTACTGATACATTTTGGCTGATGGGTGTTGGGTTAAAGAATTTCAGTCTGAAATCAATGCTAGACCACTTAAAAGTGGAATTGTATTTTATGTTTAGAGCAACAGTATAATGTTAGTTGCATGTGTTGGTAATTTAATGGTTTATTTTTTTGTTAAATACTTTTCTTTTTCTTTCAGTGTTTTGTATCCTACTTGCGTTCAGTTTACTTAATGAAGAATAAGGAAGTATTCGATGTTTTCAAATTGCCTCTAGCAGAATATGCCCTGTAAGTATGATCGACTTGGAAAGGGAGAACTGTATAGTGAGAAGTTTCGCAGTGTATGATAACTTTAAATAGCCATTTGGACTATGTTAATACACAGAATTGGACAGGCTTGTAATGTATTTACAGTTTCACATTTATACTGTGCTTTTGCATATTTTCAGAGACATTCTAAATATAAATTACGTGTAAAAACAAGTATCTCTGCAAAGAGAAGTAACTCTTACAGCAGAAGGTACATTTGCTACATACAATACAATACAAACCTTGTGAAGTAAAAGGATAGAGAACAATAGGGTTCTGTTTGTTTACCCCCTCCCCTCCCCCCCCCGCCATTTGCCTTTTAGCCTCATACCTAAATGCCAGTGTGTAAAGTGTATTTAAGCAGATGATGAAGTATCTAAAGATGGTACCTTGCAGCCTGATTTTCAGCATGATTCAGACATTGCTCCTTGGACATAAATTACTTTTCAGAAGATTCAGTGCACTCTGTAAAGATGAAACATCTGCACTGGACTGAATAGCATCTATTTTACTATGTCTATTTTTGTACATGTATGTGAACCATTCCACATTTTCTATGGGAGGGAAATCAGTTTTGACAGTTTGACTTTACAGATGACAACCCATCTGAGACTGTTTTAAGACGTGAAATTTTTGAATAGTCTCATGGGACATAGGGTAGTTAGAAGGGAGCAGGAGGGTGCTCAAAGGTGCATGGTAAATTAATTTTACGTCTCTGGAATTTCATAGAGAGAAGACTTAAGTCTTCAAACTTGTCAGCACATGGCATAATGAACTAAAATGTGACAAATTACTAGACTGTAGAACACCTGGTCTTCCTGTGCTGTGCTACAATTAACACAATTATGTTTTTTAAGCTGCATAAGCCTATCATAAAAGATGCTTTCTTACTTTATGGACTGAGAAATTTTTAAAAAGGAACACTAGCAAAAACTTAAAAAAATTTCACTACGTGCCTTGCCTGCTCGATCACTTGTGTGATTTGTCAGCATCTTTAAAACCTCGTTGTAGGTCTTGCTATGCTAAATGTAAGTGGTGGAGGCAGAAGACTAGGACTAAGAGGGATAACCGAACAAATTTAACCACTGTGTAAAAAAAACAACTGGCAGGTAGTGGTAATTCTGAATTTTCAGTGCCTCTTTCTGGACTTCAGCATGGTGTACCATCTAGTATCTGATACTGGTGTGGACAGAGTAGTCCAGTTCTGTTGTTCTCTGCCGGGATTTGGTCCTTCAGCAAAGTCAATTCTAACCCTAGCTTTGCAAAGTTACTAAAAAGTCATTCCTGTATTAAAATGGAAGAAGCCAGACAGTTGTTTGGAGAGAGGTTTAGTCAAGACTGTGAAATATATGGAAGCATAATCAAAAAGTTAGAAGGCAATAAATCTGGGAGATAATTTGCGGATTCTGCTCTAAACACACAGTTTGTTGGCACTTTCTCCCCCACTCCTCAGACTGCTGGTCTAGCTACATACAGCCCGCAGTCCCCTGGCTTTCAGTTCAGTGCACAACCACTGATACAGTGGATCAGTCAGCTTAATTTATCTGAAATGCCCTCAAAGTCTGGTACATTTGAATTCTGCATTCAGAAGCAACCTTGGTTTATGTTCTGCGTACAGACTCCTGGCAAAACCTGGAATGAAAATCCTTTCTTCCCTGTACCTTCTGTGTGTATTCTCCAAAAAAAGTTTCAGCCTTTCTGTGGAGATTTGCTGCTAGCTTGATAGATGTTGCTCCACTAAAAATCCTGCAGAGAAAACAGATGCTTAATGCCCCTGTCAGGTCTGCATTTCAGTCTGTCAGTTTTTTGCTCACTTTCTCCTTTGCTCTGTTGCCTGGCAGGTCTGTGCACTGAGATTCTCTTAAGATCTCTTGATTGAGTCTGCAGAAAAGCAGTAGTCTTTTTTTATTTTTACGTATTGTATAAAATTATTTATATATTAAATAAAATTCTTATATATCTAAAACCCAATATATATAAAAAATAAAAAGTGCGTGTGTGTATGCGTGTCTATACACATATACAAGTAGATATTCTAGAGACTGATCACCTTTATGGTACATTAGTATTCTATCCAGTATCCTCTCATTACAATTGCTATCAAGAATAATTTGCTGAAGGAAGACTTTCACAGGCCTTGTGTTAACATAGATAGTCTTTAAGTTTGGATGAGGGGGAACCTCAGTGCTTGCATGAAAGAGAAATTTGTCTTTTAGTTGCAAAGGACAGCTTTGAAAACATAAACAAACAACAAAGTGGAAAGGAATAATTAGCTAGTCTGGCCTTCTGGATAGGAGACAAGGTAAAGAGGAGACAAGGATGTGAAATCTTTTACTTCTCAGGCACTTAATTTTGTTAAATGCTAACATACATATATATATATATATGTATATATCAGTCTCCAGGGGCAGATCTTAACAGGCAAGTGTGCTGGATGGACAGGTTAGTCACAGCTCTAAGGGGCTGCCAGAGAAGGTAATTTCCTGTGTGACTTTCGTCATGTCTTCGAGGAGGAATGCAGCATATTTTTCTCTGTTTCTCCCTGTGTTGGTACACAGAGAATAAATAAAGCAGGCTGAAGCCAAGTTATTTGGGAAATGTCTGATACACACAACTTAGTGTCCAGCTCATTTTGCAAGTATTGCTTACACATCAGTGTTACAAAGCAGTGGGTAGCTACAGGTGTTGTCAGGTCTGAAATGGGTGATACCAGGATACATGATCCATCTGTCCACATCTGTCTGTCCTCTCGCTGACCAGGGAAGGCACCCACTGCACTCTCACCCCAGTCCTCTGGCCATGGATGTGGGCCTGACCCTGACTGTATGGCCAGGGCAGAGGTTTTGGGTCTTGCTCCAGCTGCCATGAGCAAGTGCAGGGCTGCCCGTCACGTCCCCCAGACAGTGTCCATCACAGGCTTTGCACATCCAGTCATCCCTCTGCTGGTTCCTGGCCCTCCTTCTCACTGCCGTTGTACTTCCTTCTCTAGACCCCAGTCTTGTTCCAACTAAAAAGCCTGCCCCTAGTTACTTTTCCTCAGTTGTTTCCAGTCTTCATACACCTGTAACCTGACTTCATATTTCTCATGCTGTTTACCTAGTTAATCTTAGCCTCATACGGTATGACTCATATGGACCTCAGTATTCCCTCCAGTGATCTGTGGAGCTTAGACATTTCTCACGCAACTCCCCCTCAACCACCTGTGGGATCCAGCCAGCCCTTTCTGAGCTTTCTGTAACTATTTCTGCAAGCTTCTGAGCTTTCCAATCCCGCCATACAAATATCTGAGTAAGCTGCAGTCTCCTTTCTCAAAGTCCAGGGTCATTATTCTCTTAGTCATCGTCCTCGTTTCTTCTAGGATCTTGAACTATCTTTTCTCATTGTGCAGCCGAGCCTGCTACTGACCTTCACTCACCTTAGAAGTAAATATATTGCATATGCATGAGTAGCAGTTGGGGTAGAGTGTCTCTAAGAGTTGGGTAATCCAGCTAACTTGGAGAAATGGTCTTTACTGCGCTCTAGAAATCTCTGATGCTTGTGCTCTGTTGTGTTGCCCTTTGAGCAGATGTCAGGGTGGCTGAGGTACCAAGAGCCCCAAAGCCTGCGACTGCAACATGGAGGCTTTTTCTATTTTTGTGGAAAAGGCTACATCTCAGTCTTCTAAGTGATTGGATTCCAACCATGACAATCCTCTTTGCTGGCCTTCTCTTTGATCCTGACCCATAAACTCTTGGTTAGCTTGGCTCTGGTTATTATTAGTAGAGTACCATGCATTTGAGCTCCTTAGTGTAGAGCGATAAAGCTGTCTAGTCAAATAAAGAACACGGAAAAAGCAATTTCTTTGTTCATTTTGGTCATTAATCAGACCATGTGGAAAGCCTATTAATTCAGATTTGTGTTACTTCAGTTGATTTGATTTCTCCTGTTTTCAAATGATTGCTCATCCTGTCTTCTGAAAACATTTTAAATGTTAAGTGTAGATGCAGCATATATTGCAAGGCAATACACATTTCTTCTGTTGAAATAGTTTCTGGGAGTATTTAACCCGTTTCATTTTAAATCTTTGTCTGAACCTGTTCTACAGTAAAAGAAATCACTGTGCTGTGTTTTCATGCGTTCAAATCATTCTGAAGAAGTTCACTAATGGAACATATCTTATAGTTAGTAAAAGTAGCAACTTAATATGAGAATGAAGCACTAACTTCTGTAAAATTGTTGTGCAGCAGTTCTGACGAAGTGGCCTCAGATCCTTTACAACTGGCTCATATTTCAGGAAGGACAGGAAATGTTCTCGGTGCAGATTAAGAACTCTTGTGACACTTAAGGATGAAAGGTTGTACTGGTCTTAAATTTCCTGTTGAATTTGCTTTGTGCAAGGATAGAGTTTGCTGTCTAAGATTCCATCTTTTTGAAGAGTTACGGGAGATGGCCAGCTTTTCACTCAATCCACATAGAGGCATAGTGAAGTTACCGTGTGAATATAGACATACTCAAGATCTTTGTATAAGCATAATTAACAAATCTCAGAAAAGGCAGTATTTAAAGTCTGATACGGCATTCATCTGAATTAATTTTTAAAAATGTTTACTGATTCAACTTATTCAACAAAGAAAAGTGGTATTCCTCTTAAAGCCATACAATATTCTTTCTTTGGAGTTTCAACTTAATTCACGAAAATAATTGTCAGCTTGCTTTGAATTGAAGGAGGTACTTGAGCCTTGTAGGTGTTCGTTGAAGATGCCCCTGCTCATTGCAGGGGGTTGGATGAGATGACCTTTAAAGGTCCTTCCAACTGCAATCATTTTACAATTCTGTGATTCTGTTTTGCTTGGTTACTTCTACGCATTCCCTGATCAGTGTAGGGGAGTGATGATGTCTGGCCACCTCAGTTTCTGTTGATGAATAGAACTGTCAGCTGTACTTTCACTTATAATAGCAAAATAATCCATTGGTTTCAGTATTGCTTTTGGAAGCTGATTTTAAATGTCTTTCTAGAAGAGCTTGCTCCCAAGAAGTTGTTGCATTTCACACCCAGATGTGAAACAGGATTGTTTTTGGTTTGTCAGCTGAATTTGTGTTCTCCTTTAAGGCTGCCATGGTCTGAGGACTACATTGTGTCTTTAGCATCTTCTTAGTGTTCTGTGTTATTTAATGATATTTCATAAATTCTAACTTACCTGCTTTTTGTCTGGCTTTATGAGAAAACCTTGCACATTTCTTATTCCAGAAAAGTACGTGAATGGTAGCACTAAAATCAAAGAAGAGATGTAACTTCAGTCAGAGTAGGGTTGTGGTCTGAGTGGCATCTGATGAATCTGTGAAAACTGATATTGCCCTTTCTAGTCAATGGAAAGAAAAGCTGATTCATATAGTCAGGTTTTTTAGTTTAACCAACTGTAGATTTGGCGAATGATTAAGAAGTAAATTCGAAAGAGGGTCGAATCTTACAACATGAGGAAATTTTTAGCAGTAGTAGAATGTGTTTGTCCCAAATTGTTCTCTGTTTGGAATGTACTATAGAAAAGAGGCAGTAATGAGTCAAAATGGTGACGTTTCTTTGAGCAAGTTACGTAGTTAAAAGTGTTTGGAGATTGTTTGTACACAACTTTGTTTAAGCTTATCTGCTAGTACTTTCTTACGAGATTTGACCTTAACACCTTCCCTTTCCCCCAAGTCTAAGGGCAGTATTCTTTTGGTTCAGATGTCATTTGAATTCTGATAGCACTGGTCTTTTTTGGTAGGGTTGCTAAATAATGTAGAAAATTTGGCCAACACTAACTAATAATTAATTTTATGCAATTATTAAGAAAGATGTCAGTGCAGAACAGCAACCTGGTGGCTGAGATTTCATATTTGAATGAGAAAACCTGTGCTGAAGTCTCTCCACATCATAGGCTGCTCTTTTTGACTTGTCTTTTTTAACTTTTCCTATGGAGAGAGCAGTTTCTTCGCCTTGTCAAACCTGTTCTCTGCAGCTGTGATCCTGATCTTTGATACTAGCTCTGGAGACATAGAAGAAAAGCTGTGATAAAATCAGAGTTTGCAACTCTGTACGTGTCTGTGTCAGTCTGCATAGACATTGCGTAGCTGCTGTACATTTCTGCTCCTTCCAGTATTTTGTCAACAGTTGACAGCAATACTTTATGTAGAACAATGCTGTGAAATCTGGAAAAGCAAAAAAGTGTTTCTTGTGCAAAGGATTTTGTTTTGCTACTTCGAGCCCTCTGCTGAAGCGATAACAGATTTGTTGTCGTGGCAGCAATCTCTCTGTACGTGTTCTGCTGTGCCTAGTGTTCAGGCCCAGTTCCAGGCTGGAATCTCCTCCAGCTGCTGCAGTGAAGCGTCAAATGTGCTTTGTTTGGCTGTTTTTGTTTCAGTTAGCCAGTAGGCCAAACTCTAACACATAGTTTCATTGCAGAAGTAGTTAGTGTTGCTCCAGTTTCAGTTCCCAGTTCTCAGCAGTGCACTGCCAGTAAGTGTGCAAAATACACTGGATAAAAACTTCCCTTGATCTTTTTTTCATAAAATTCTATTTGCTTTACTGTTGCTGTTAATTGCTTGTAGAAGAACAGTATTGGGTTATTAGAGATACTTAAACAAAATTACATTAAAATAAAAGCCTTATTGAAAAATGTGTTCCTCATCCTGAGAGCGTGGGCTTCTTTTTGGGTGCATGTCCACTTCTCAGCGTTTTAATCTGTAGCCAGTACCAAAGTTGCCCCATTTAAGCACAGATTTGGTTGCGTTTTGGTTGGTTGTTTGTTATTTAAGCAGGGTGCCTCTCCTGTTGACTACTCTGTCCCTTTGGCTGCTGTTAGCGGTTCAAGGTTCTCTCGGGCCTGCGGTCACTCTTGCTGCCCTGCAGTACTGTTTGGATGCTTTGTGTGCTGTTTGTAATGGTGTTTCCCCCCGGGAGTATAGGTTTGATTTTTCTCCTGTGACGTAACTTGGGTGTCTTTAGTCAGAGCTGTGTGGTGAAGAGAAGACATAACACTGTCTGCTTCGAATGAGCAGCGTTGAGGGGAGATGTAGTGTATAACTATGCATAACATGACTCAAAAGAGACTGGCCTTTTATATGTGTGTGTGCACGTGTATGTATATAGCCATTTTGGTTTGTTAAATACTTTACTCCTTTGGTAAGTGCACGTACACGCCCTGAGTATTACAAACATGATCATTTCTGTGTTGTGAGCTTTTAAATGTAGCTGTGGTCTCGAGTGTTCCTTGCACAGTACTGGTGTCCCCCCACATTTTTCATACACCTAATAAGAAGGCTCCTGAAATCTGAAAGAGACTTAAATGTTCTTTTGAATTTGGATTTGACAGGGTCAGGTGTAATGGTACTGGGCAGTTACGAAGTTTACTGAAGTCAAATGATCTGTTGGAGGCAGAGTATCTGTTCCCATGCAGTGCTCTCCAGTACTGTTGCTGTACAGTGTTTGTGCTTTTTGGCAAAGTTTTGTCCCTTTGTGTATAGAATATTAGTATAACTTTGAATTATCATGAATAATGGTAAAATAGTAGTATTATTGGCAATGCTAGCTACATGTGCCGTGAAGGTAAAGCCTTACTGTAGAGGACTGCAGGCATGTGAGATTTCCTTTGAGGGAGAAATGGTAGCTTTTTCTGAAAGTAGTCATTTATCCATACTGTGTTTGTTCTTTTAATCTTTCCGTCACTGCAAGATGATGGGCATAATGTTCTGGGTGCATTTCTAGCAGTGAAGGACACTGACAGAAATCAGTGCTATCTCAGTCCTTGTCATGACATCTGTGTATCTTCAGTGCCAAATTACATTGGTGTTTCTTCCACTGTATTTTACTGCGAATCATAGGTAATTTGCTCTTGTCTACAGCTTTTCAGGTTCTTTGTTTGCTTTCTTTCCTGAGAGAATTTGTAACTGTTTTTGAGATTTCTCAGTTATTTCATATTCGTTCCTCTCCCAGTGTTCACTTGAATTTTTCAAGCTAGATTGTCCTGTTGTAGGCTAAATATTGTTTCATAAATATGTTGGTCAAAATGTATCCATCTGAATTACTGTAATTAAAATCAAATCACTTGAGCCACTGATGAGGGCTTCCAATTTGGTCAACTCTTGTGTATCTACCTTTCAGATTAATTTGTTTGTTTGATTCTGTGCTTTAGATCACTTGGTCTTGCAATGGCACCTCGTGTGAGATTTCTTCAGAAAGTTCGGAAACAGCTGTGTGCAAAAGAGGCAGCTGATGGGACGGATCACTCGAAGGAGACAGAGGAAAATAAAAATCCCATCTCCTCGATAAACATTGAAGAAGCGGAGAAATGTGGAACTAATTTCAGTGGAAAGGTGTCTGTTAATGGAACAAAGGAAAAGGAGAGAAGGAAAGAAACTGAGGAATGTTCTGCTTCCAGTGAAGGTGCTGAGGAGAGTGGTGAGTCTGAGAATGAATTGAAAGAGGTGTCTGAGGAGGAGGAAGTTCCTGTACCAAGCAGGGTTCCAAACCCAGACTCGGTGCAGTTCTTTGAAGATGATGACGACGATGACGACGACGATACTAAGGATCTTGATTTGCTGACAGTGAGACGACGGAATGTTTTTGGTGTGGAAGCTAAAGATAATCCAGCACTGGTAAGTTGACTTTATAGTAAGGCTTATGAATCTCAATGATTTTATATTGGACATACCCCAAGTAAGGAGGAGAAAAGAGAAAATTCGACTCTTAGCAGAATACTCAGTTGAAGTCAGATGTGTTGTCCATATGTATCAGAAGTCAGAATTGCTTCCAAAAGATAAGTGGTGTGACTTATGCTTTTATCACTCTATGTTACTAGCAGAAAGTAGTTTTATTTGCATAACAAATATCCTTGTAGTTGCTTTAATTTATGAATAACATGATTTGAATACGTGGGAAATTTTGACAGTTTTAATTTTTACTGCTTACTAATTTGCTTATACCTTTCTAAAATAGCTGCCATTTTCAGTCATAATTTTGATGCTGTACTGCAATTTATGGGACTGGGAGCCAAGCTGCAGTACATGATAAGCCACTTCCCCACACAAATCGTAGTAAACTATCTTTGCAATAATGTAACCTTCAAACCATGATTTCTACTTCCAACAGGACCTTTGCTATTAGGAATTGAGCCAGTATCAGAGAGAGAGAGAGTATGCATGCACTTCTTATAAAGTATGGTTATAAAGGCGTATTAACAGTATTCATGTAGATCTTTCATTTTCTTGGCAAATAGCTTAATAATTCAGGATTTCTCTGCACTTGGCATTCTGAGAAATGTTGCTTTCATTTAATCTTTAAATACAATGTTATAGTATGGGTGGGTTTGTGGTTTTTTTTATTATTTCTCTAAAGCAGATTTGGTACGTGAATTTTTTGCATCTCCTTTGCTGTCTAGTCACTGTGTCTTTGCAAGGGGAGCCTCCTGCCTCCTGTTAAGCAAAGTGTTTGTTTTTCCAACTGGTATTTTAAACCTTTCTTTTTCTGTGCTGTTATTTAACAGCGCAGGGCACTTGTCATGAACTTAAGCGAATCAGCCTACTAGCTGCGTTTATAAGCAGCATCTTTCCTTTAGTGAAGTGTTATAAGCTGGTTTTATCAGCTGACTTTGTCGAAGATGAGCAGTTGCACAGTAACCTACCCACTGCCTGTGCTCTCTCCTCTACCGTGAGGAGCCGGCGACAGGTTGTCCTCTTGTCCCAGAGCTATGGAAGAAGGATGCTCCTGGAGTTACCTTTCAGCTCCTGTTATTCGAAGCCTGAGCTGTCCTGCCCCGGCACAGCCGCTGCCTGGAAGTGGCTTGTGTTTGTTAATAAATTTCAGTTTAATGTAGATAAGATATTGCTGTTTTAAAAACAAAGGGGTGTGAAAGATTTCTGCCTTAGTTAAAGAATGATGTTCTCACTGCTTCCATGTTGCTCCCACGATTTTCCATGCTGAAACACACAGACTATTTCATGTTGCTTTTGTATGTTGGAAAGTGAATTGGGAAGTTTTGTTCAGAAAATGACAAAAGGAGAAACTTTGATGTAAAAGAATAAACAAAAGAAATTTTATGAAAAGTACAAGTGATTTAGAAAGTAATTTGGAACCTCACTGGGTAACCTTTTAACAGTTTTCCGGCATTAAACATTTATAGGTTAGTTTATGCTCTGGCAAGTCAGACATTATTTTCTGTGATTCGGCATTGACCAGCTACAGTAAGGGTTAGTGGTTTGTACTTGGTGTGCGAGTGTGGAAGACCTCGTATCACCTGAAACCTCTCGTACATGAGGGCATAATAGTGATATATTTAGTTATTCTTCTAAGTAGCTGTGAAAAAACTCCCCAAAACTTCAAGATCTGTATCGTTAAGAGCTTAAATATAATTTAAATAATCTCCTACAGAAATGCGTACAGTGGTGCAGTATGTAATTTTTAGAAAGCAGAAATGCAGAACATACTATGCCTACCAGTGGAAACTAGTCTTGATCAATGCATATTGCAGGGTTACTGTGAAAGTTGTTGATAAATTGTGGAATACTTTAAATGTAAGGATTCTGTTTTCAGAAAAAAAAATAAGAGAATGAAGGTTTCTGTCACTCAACTCTGTATTGTCTTGTGTATAATAGAAGTTACACAGAAAGATTCAGGCATTGGTCATCTTTTATTTCATGTATACTTGATTACCACATTTTATGGATGTTAATAGCAAATTGGTAACTTGCAATACTTTTAGTATTTTTTTCCGATTTGTTTGTTTTCTGGATGAAAGTTTTGAAGTGATTATTACTGCATTAAGGTAGATCAGCTCATATATGAAGACTTCGAAACACCCGATTCCTCTGGGGTGTGAGAAGCACTGAGCAGTGTGAGTGTGGTTTTCCTGTTGCTGTATGTTGGAGTGTCGTAGAATCATAGAATGCTTTGGGTTGGAAGGGACCTTTAAAGGTCATCTCATCCAACCCCTCTGCAATGAGCAGGGACATCTTCAGCTAGACCAGGTTGCTCAGAGCCCCATCCAGCCTGGCCTTGGATCTTGTCCTGCTAGGGATGACTTGGGAACTGGTTTGTGTGCAGTGTACTGGATGATTGCTGCATTTCTAGCATGAGGCAGTGCATTAATAAATAGTATCAAATGCTGCTGAGAGTCTAGGAGTGTGAAAATAGAGTGTATACTTGGCTAGATCAGTTAAATGTTTGGGTTTTTTTGTTGTTGTTGTTGTATTTTTTTTTTTTTAAATCTTCTGTGTGCTAAATAAGGTAGGAGTCCTCTGGAGGCATTAGTATGTGATCATCTAATTGGGAGGTTTTGAGTGTGCCCAAAAAGGTTGAATTCAGTTTGCGTCTATGCTTTTAATGTCTGTGATTGATTTTGCAATTTCACTCTTCTTATGTTATGCTTATTGTTGGCAGCAAAACAGTCCCGCTGTGATTGTTGAGCTTCAGGATGTTTTTGTAAATGGGAACATTACATTCAGCTTCAATTTTGAATAGCTGTTGTTGGAGACACCATTGCTTCCTTATCCCTGTGTCTTCCCTAGCCCCTCTGGTGGAAGAAGGAGCAAGAGGAGGTGTTAGGCTGGCTCCAGGTCTGCCGTGTGGTGTGTGGCGCCCTGACCTCTGGTCGCAGGTGGGCTCGGCTCATCCGTCTTTGTAACAAGGGAAGGGAGCTAGGCAGAAAGAGCAGGGGTTATTTAAACTGATGGTGGAGTGGAAGGGGATTTGTGTGACTTTCTTAGAACATTTAGTTTTTGTTGAATGTTCATGGTACCCAAGCTAACAGTGAAAGGTAGGTCATAGTGTGAAGTGAGACACATCCAAAGTTGGTTCTTCTAACTGCACAACTTGCAGCTGGATTCCGCGCGTTCCTCTGCCCTTCCTTCGGGTGGCCCTTGGCTGCATGCATACTCTGTCATTTTTTGACAGCAGATACAAAGAAAAATCTGTTCTCTCCGCACTGCTGTATAAAAGAAGAAACCTTGTGTATACGATGAAAGACCTTGGCAGATATTACAATTTTATTATGAGTTTCTGAGCTCATTTTTTAAGAGGTATTCACTAGCTGCCCTATTTATGTACTTTACTTAAATATGTCAGGATTTTTAGCTGGTGATATAACTCGTGAGACTTATTTAGAAGTACAGTGTTCTTATGCATAAAAAGGTCAGCTGTATGCATAGAACCATTAGCAGATATGAAGTATTTAGCTGTTGTGTTGACATTATGGAAATTATACGTTTAAAGTGCATTTAACAATATTAACAGTATTGATATTGCAAAGACTATAAGCACTCCCTGGTTAAAAACTTTGTTTTTAATGCTAATTTTATGATATTGGTTGTTGCATTTGGAGATGCAAAGGCTTTATTTCTTAAACTTCAAACATGATTTGTTTTCAGAACTATGACTGAGCCCATTTTTTTCTTGTATTTTTTTCTTGTTTTTTTTCTTGTTTTTGTTTAAAGTTTAAACTTTAATTTTAGTCGTCAGACCACTAAAACTCTTCAAGTAGGGTACTTGCTGGCTGCTTGGAACACAAAGGGCTGCGTTAAATAGTACTTGCAGAGTCCTTGGAGTTAGTCTGGACTCTCGAAGAGCCTGCTGTTTGAATCCAGTGACTATGGAGGGAAATTATTTTCAATGTCCTGATTCTGTCTCAGCTAGCTAGCTGGCTTGCCTTGTGATGCAATACTATTACGTACAATGACACTTTCTTACACTTCTCAGACACATACATTATGATGTGGATATGTGCATGCTGATAAAAGCAGCAGAGAACAGACAAGGGTAAATCTCCCTAACTAGGAGTGATAGGGGAGTCTATGCCAAGGAGCAGAGAGTGATAGCTAGTTGTAATGTGGACTTCATGCAGAAAATGGATCAAGGAAACATAATCAATGTGCACGAAAGTGAGGACTTGGTCCTCTAGAACGTTCTTTGAGAAGAAAGCTTGTTACCATTCACAGAAATCAAAATTAAGTTTCAGAGTTGTAATTCATCTTGATTGCTTCTCTTACATTGGCTTTTCCTTCTGAATGGGATCTCTCTCCTTCTATTCCATGTTATGAGATAGATTTTCGCCAGTCTTGTGTTTATGTGCTGCTTTTTCTGTGTGAAGAGTCTTCTCATTCCTCTGACCGGCTCTTACTAGCTCTTATGCTTTCGTATTAATTTATACTAAATGTGTGACTTCGTCTCCGTGGTGCTTTTTAGGGGGATGGCGAGATAGAAGATACCCAAAGGAGGGAAGAAGCAATGGAGTGAGCTAGCTGACTCTGGTAGCGACGTTGTTTCCCATGTGGATAGCCCTCTGCTTTTGCTTTTGCTGTAGCGATGTGTTGTGTCCAAGAGAAGAAAGCTGCTCCAGGCACCCCACTAGCTAGAAAAAGAGCATTATTCCTTGGAGATGTGTTGAAAAGCTAGCACGCTGGCAGAGAAAATACAGAAGTTATTTATTTTTAAGTTAAATAAAAGTCAATAATGTGATGCATAATATACCATAAATTCTCCTTCCTACAGAATCTAAGTGCCTTAGGTTCTCAGCCTAGTAACAGTGTGCTTGTGTATTTCTAGTTGAATTATAGCAAGTCATGATTTATATGAGGTACAAAATATTTGCATACAAGTGAAGAAG